TCTGGCACTGATTTAGGCACTTTGGGATGGCCCTACATCTGAGTCTTACTGTAGCAATTCAAAGAGCTATTCAAGTCTTTGTTACAGCCAAACCCCTTGCCAACAGAACGCCATCTTGACTACATTATGTACTTTTCAGCAGATGGAGTTTGGGGATTCCTGTGAAATTGTGAAAGCAAAAGCACAGACATGGCAGGACAGAGCTAAGGGAGAATAACAGATAAATATATCCAAAGGGCAACGAACAACACAGGCAGAGTGAGGATAATTTTTTTTTTAATTCACAAATAAGAAATTCTGGGTTCCTAAGAGAGTTTGAGTATTTCAGAGGCTTTAAGAATGGTAATATTTTACAAGATAAAAATAAAACTACAGCAACTGCAACCAAAAAATATTAAAAGCTCATCACTTCTCTGTAAATTCAAACAGTCTCAGCTGCTCCAGGTATTTCCAAACATTTCATGTCTTAATTGACTTCCCAAGCAGATATCTTAGAGTTTACAAGTCACATCCACTTAATCTTGTATTGATTTTCTAAGATGCTTCCTGTTACAATAACTACCCTAATCAATTAACTTCTTGTAGGTAGCAGAACAATTTTCTCTTTCTCTTTTCTTTCCAATGAAACCTGAATACTTTACTTCCACAAAAATATCTGATGTCGCCTCTTACTTATCAAAGCACTACATTGTGTTGGTAAAAATGTTTGATGCCTTTCATTAAAACAAAACAAACAAAAAACAAATGTTTGAATATCCCTCACAGAGAAAGCATACAGAATTGCCTCAAACCAATATCATGAGTGGTTTACAAACTTGGGGTTGTGTTGATATAAGTGTTCTTTAGCGATCATAAAAGTATCTTTCCCTTGACCTCAATCGCAGGGAACTGGGAGTCTGGCAGTCACTCAAGGAAGAAGAAAATTGTTCTGCTACTCGGTATCAAAAAAACAAGGCCACAAGCCAGCCATTTGTGACTTCTTTAGTTAGCATTGTTTTGTTTATCCCAGTAAACAAATTTCACCTGTAATAAAATGTGAGGATTTGGTATGAGGGTGGGAAGTTACTCTAAAATGAGCCTACTTACTTTTCTTAGGCACAGCCATGGGAACAATAGAAACAAGATTCAGGAAAGACATTGATGTTTGGAGTCAGCCAATCTGACTCAACACTTGGGAGAGATGGAGAAAATTTGGGATTCAAACTCCCTAAAGTTTCACTTCCTGTCCTACAAAATCTGATCAATAAAATTATCTACAAGGAAGTTTTGGGGTTCTTTAGATCTAATGCCTCCCTCCTTTGATCAAAGTCTAATATTTTCCCTGAGAGATCTTCCCAAAGTAGAGGAGTGACCAGGTCACTTTCCTGTCTGAAACCTCCCCATGTCTAGAGAGCAGAGGCCAAATCACATTGCATGCTATCCTCCATCCCATGAAGCAAGGGTTCAGCCTACTTTTCCCGGCTCATCTCTGATCATTCTCCTCAATTCATTTCCCATTCTAACCATATCAAAACAGATTTATCACATATTCTCAGCCCCTTATAGTTGTATGTTTGTTCAAAATACCTCCCCAAAGTTCCCCTGCACAAAATGCTCTTCCTGTTCTTGTCCACTCAGCAAACCCTTGCTCAACCCTCAAGGTCAAGGATATCTCCATAGTTACCACTTTTCCAACTGTGCCTGGGGCTTCTCCCAAACCAAACAAAGAGTAATTTTCACCAGGTGAAATGATCTCATTTTTTGCTCGACTTCCAACATGAAAAAAACACTTTACTGGGCTTTACTGGGACCTAACATGAAAATATCTCGATGTTATTTAACCACACAGTGAAGTGATTTTTAAAAAGTGCAATCTGTGTATCTATAATCTGAGCACTAAAAGCAAAATATGAGTATCTTATTCAGACTCCCAAAGTCAATCAACTAGGTAGGTAGTCACTAAATTATGCGAAAACCAGCACGCATGCAGAAAAATACAGCACCTGAAAAATGAGCTCACACTCATCAATTATTCAGGGCATTAATATCACCTGCTAGGTGCAAGATGTATCATTTCTAATATAATACTTTAAAATAACTATAAATGAATAGACAGATTTAAACAAGTTCAGGAATTTTCCCAAGTATTTGATATAGGACAAGGTTGTCTCCCAAACCCAGCTCTGTCAGCCTTTAAAGCCCATTTTATTTCTACCCTTCCACACTGTCTTTCTATTGGCCTTGTACTGTGATCATGGGTGGATCTTCTAGCAATGGTCTATGTGTCTTTATTCAAGGTATCAGGTAATATCTCTAGCTGAGTCATTCAAAATACTCTTTTGTTTGAGGAAAAAGGGTTTTGGTGTGTGCATATAGAGAGGTTATGTGGTCACTTCAAGAAGAAGAGATGGGGCCTTGTCAAAACACAGTGACACCCCATTAATAATACACACCATTAAAGTAAGGTTCCTCTCTGGCACTAAACACATTGGTAGCCTTTCTTATTTTTGGTTAAACTCCCTAGAATATTTCATATATTTGCCTAAATAAAAGTAACATATTATAGCAGAATTATGACATTATATAAATCATCAATGAGTTATTAAAAATATCCTCATCTCTTAATTTCCCTGACTGGATTAATTGAAGGGATTTATTATTGAGGTGGTGTTGATTGTCTTGGTGATGGTGATATCTGTGTTTAGTGACCTAAAATTGTGAATATATCTTTAATTCAAATGTTTTATGGTCTTACATCAATTTCAAATATAAATTTATTCATTCTTTGCATGAAACATATATCGGTGCACAATAATATTTCTCACATAACAAATGCAAAAAAGGAGCTTGATTAGAAAAGTCAGAAAATGTAACTTCAATATAGAACTAAATATGAAATTGTGTATGTTACAGTGGAATGTTTTTAGCACATTTTATAATCTTATTCAAAATTACCATTGTTTTTTGATATACAGACATAGACATAGACAGAGCTATAGCTCTAGAGCATTTTAAAAAATCAATTTGAACTGGAGAAAACACAGAGTTTAAATGTTAAGAATATGTCAAATTTATTGGCAGGAAGATCTCCCTAATTTTAAGTGGCTTCCCTACTGGCATCCAGGAGGAATCAGCCTTGCTTACTCAGTCTGCACCCTGCAAGAAAGTAAAGGGGATTGAGGCACTGATGGGGAACATAGACAAAACAAGTCCCTGTGTGCAGCCAGCACAGGTCCCTGCAGGGCAGGGGCCATTTCCTTCTCTAACACAAGTGCAGTGGATAATCTGACTGTAGCACTTAAACAAGTTCTGATGATAGTGGCCAGGACTAATGGAGAAACTCCCAAACATGCCTGAATTGTCAGTATTTTCTCCTGCAATGACTTCTCACATTACTACTAAATGTCTCCATACAGTAGGTGAGTTGGCAAACAGCAAGGCACTGAATCTATCCTTAAAGTGGTTTTTAAAATTTCTTACGAATAATATGAATTCTCTAGTCCTTCATCCAGCTACAGACTTTTGCTGCCCTTACTGCAAAGAGAAGACACAAGTTAAACAGTGATAACAATTCTAAAAATCTGGGTTATTATTCTTTGTCAAGTAATGTGGTTGGTGGTAGCCAATTTTCTTTACAAAATTAATAACACTTTATATACTGCTGACAATAGGGCAGAATTAGGACTGATTCCACATGATACACACATTTCCAAACATGTGTTATCTTGTGCCCTCTCCCAACCCTTATTAGCTGTTTCTATGGAGTTTAAAAAAAAGATGTTGTTCATGAGAGGAGTCAAGGTGACTCACCAAGAGCAAGTTAGGAAACCTGCATCAGGAAAAACCTATGCAGGGAAGAAGGATCAGTGTGTCTCATTCACTCCAGAGGCAAAACTCAAACTGTGAATTCAATTTGGTTCAGGTGTCCTGACACCTGGAGAAGTGGTTCATTTTTAGGAAGTAATCAGCCATCAACTCAGGTGCCTATAAACAGCCAGAAATTACTATGGAGCAGAGATCTGAAAATTCCAGCTTATTTAACATTAAAAAAAAAGAGTCTAACATCCTGGCCTAATGAATTATAAAGATATTATTAGTTATTTTAAAACAAGTAGTATTTTCAGTGATAAAAGTTACAAAAAATAACTGTTGACTTAACAGACTTCTGAAATGCATGTTGACCATACAGAGAAGAAAAACTAAATAACGTCACTTGAAAGTTAATTTGCAAATCTTTTTAAAGTTTTAAAATTTATTCCATGCATATTGTATGTAATGCATCATGAACCAAAGTAAAAAGACAGAAGGACACCCTAAAAGTTCAAAAGAAAATGTCAATAGGTTTATGACATACCACTAAATAATAACTGATTTTCCATTTTATAATTCCCGACCAGTTAAATGTCATTCACTGGAAGATGTGCTATTCCTATAGAAATTTTATGTGACAGCCATTCCACCAAATAATAATAATAATAATAATAATAATAATAATAATAATAATAAGTCTAGAAAAGTAATCCAAAACAGTAATTCCATACTTTAGAGATCAAAAAACATATTGATTGACTTTCCAACAGTTTTTCAGGCAACATAAAGATATTGCCAATCACATCCCAAATTCACCAGGTTAAATGAAATAATGAATCAACTAACATACACAGAAAATAAAAAAGAAACAAAAAGAAGACTAAATGGCTAACCATTGAAATCCAAAAGATGTTGCTTGTTCTGATTATCAAGATAAACCATCTCAGGTTATCACCCATATTTATGTTTAGGCTTAGTGTGAGTTTATGCCAAATATCACAAATTGTCATCTATGGAAAGGTGAACGTTCTTCAGCGTTTCATCTAAAATCCTTTGTCCAGTTAGAGTTTTAATGTGTGTGCTTGAACACTATATCAAAAAAAAAAAGTTTTTATTCTTTAAGTAAGACATTTTGTTATTCTATCATAGAAGCTATTCTAACACACACAAACATAGGCGACCAAGCAAGTGGGCAATGTGTAAACCTTTACCTGAAGGCCTTCAATAGCCAACCGCAGCATGCTGGGTGTCAGTTTAGAGGCTTGCTTGAAGGTGAAATTACTCCAGTCTATGATCAAAACAAACCCATTCACTTGAAGCTCAGGATCTTCAATCATGGCTTCTAAAGACAGTAAGATTGCACGCAAAATATCCACCAGTGTGTACCTATCAGCAACAGAAAAGCACATCATTGAATCTGACAACCACTTTTGTAGAAACTATAGAAAGTTTTAGCACACTAAAAACTCCTAAAAATTAAGCATGGCACTTTTAAATAACTCAAGAACGTTCTCAGTGATACTGAAAGTTCATATGCACATATTTAAAAAATTGAGAATGAGATCTGAGGAGCCTCATCAATAAACAGAAACAGTATACATGTGAACAGCTATGGTTAAAAGTGCCAACAGATTTGAATTACTTGTATTGAGTTTGTATCATAAAGATGAAAGAAAAGAAAGGAAGGGGTACAGGCGGAAAGAAAGGGAGATCAGAGAGAGCAAAAGGGAAAACCACCTGTCTATTTAACACAGGCCATCAGAATTTACGGGTTAAGCCTTTCTCTTTTTCTGCCTTGCACCTTAACACAGCACCTGGCACATTTTAGAAATCCAATAAATGCTTCTTATATTCCTGTAAAATGGACTAGCGTGCAGAGACACTAGCTGTACATTAAGACACTGCTTCGACAAAGGCAGTGGAGGTAAGAATGCAGATGAGAAGTTTTAGAAATATTTCAGAAGTGAACTTGTTAAAATTTGACAATCAGATGTAGGGACTAAGATTGAGGGGGAAACAAAGGATGACGCAGATTCTAGCTTCAGAGCCTGAATAAATGGTAAAAACCTGTAATCAAAAATCAATAATGCAAAAAAGAGGATACAGTTAGGGATGGCTGGAAATGCAGAGTTTGGGACCCGTTGCACCTGGGAAACATGTAACACACCCAGTTATTCTCAATTAAACGTCTGAAAAAGTAGATCCTAAACTAAGAGAGAGCTCCAGGTTGAAAATTCTGGATTCAAAAGCATACATATCCCAAATTCAAGGAAGTGAAGGAAGTAATGCAGTCAGAGCTGAGAGAAAAATGAGATAATTATTCTAAGAAGGAAGTTCCAGCATTTTAAAAGGAATCAGCAAATGTATGGAATAGGTCAACCATTTCAATTTTTGAGCATATCACATTTCAAGTTGTTTTCTCCTCAGACATTCAGGTAGAGATGTCCAGAAAAAGCTCGAGAAAGAAATCTTGAACTCAGGAAGAGGTGGGGTGTGGAGGATGGTGAATTAGGAGTAGAAATTATTGGCATTTAATGGAAGTGATGGGCTCCTCAGAAAGACATGAGTATATGAGACAGTGAGAATAGTTCTGTTTTTACTTCCCAAAACAGTTGGAGGCTAATGGAGAAAGCATAGTAGTTCAGAAAGAATCAGTGAAACCTCAGGTGACTTCTCATGTTCTCCGTACATCATTTCCTTCTCAGCAAAATCAGTACAGTAGTATGAGATAGGATTCCTCTTGGATCCCAGCATTCACCAAGCATAGGCTATGGTGTCAGAAGACTTCAAGATGGAATCTCTTCCTTGTCCCTCATTTGTGTGTGGCGCTGGGCATGTCATTGATTTATCTGAGGCTCAGTTCCCTTACCTGAGAAAACGGAAGCACCTGTGCTCATCACACAGTATCTCACTGGCAGTGGTAGGGGATGGGCAATCGGGCAGGAAGGGAAGTCAAAGGCATGACCCAGGTGAAAGCTTGTGCACAATGCTAGGTGTACAGCAGACGTAGGACATGTTGGTGGACTGGAATACACACAGCATATTTTTTTTTTATCATGGTAACCACAAATATAGTGTACTGGTCAGAGTTATCAGCAGAACTGAAGAATATTTGTTTTTATCTTTTACTTAAAAACTGAACGATGATCTTTAGGTAGCTTATTACTATTATAAAAGTCAAGGATCAAATCTCTGGATGGCATACAGGCTGTTTATAGCCCTAAGGCCATGACATCCCAAAATCCGTCCTGGATACATCAGAAAATAAAACTTTTGTAGAACACTGTCACTTGTTTGTCTTCAAATCAGTGAACTATATATGGCTGGCCTACCTCCTTTCTTAATATAATGGCTTAATACAGTGTTATGACCAAAAGCCTATAAGCCTACACAAACTGGAAAGTTGGAGCAACCGATATTTCTGGTTAAAATGGAGACCCCCCTCCTTAAAATATATTCATTTTTAATTTCTGAAGTTTATAATAATATCATGGTTAGAAAATTAAAAATCAGAAAAGTCTGGCTCAGAAATTTTTCCTCATGATCATTCTTGTTACCTATAAGAACACCAAATATTATTACTACAAAAATAGGATTAAGTAAAACTTATATCTGAAATCAGCTTTAAAAGGAAGATGCATTGTAGTAATATGTAGTAAGAATAAATCATGGCACCAGGAAGGGCTGAACACAAGAGGCAAATGGTTTGAAGTAACACATTTTAAGTGTGGTTTTACAAAACTGTGTCCAAATCAAGAGACAAATTTATGTACATATTGTTATTCCAAAGAAACTAAAATAAGGCAAGTCCCAGGATCCACAATGAAGAAAAGCAGGTTTGCAAAGTTTTCAAGAGTAAATCTAACCTAGTTTTAAATTCTGACATATTGCTCCGAAAAGAGAATTAAATGATCTTTACATAAATAAATCCTATCAATGTATAGGTTTAAGAAAAGAAACATAAAAACACCCTAGCTAATTGCATTCAAAGGGCAGGTCAAAACCACTCTTGCCATTCCAGGTCTCTGTTGTCAAACATGTCACATTACTGCCATTAGCAGCTCAGCAGGCTATTCCTAAGCATAACATTATGAAACAAGATCTTGCCAAAGTCTGTAAAATATCTCCCAAAGAAATGGAGCACTTTATGAATTTTCTCTCTTCAAGAATCCCACCATCATTCTTCTCTTTGAAATTATTTTTAACTGTTACAATTTATAAATTGTTAGCACAAGAAATATTCCACATGTTCATATTTGGGGTTTCCACCCCAATCATAAAAGCTCCACCATCCATTCTTCCCTTGTGTGTTGGAAGAAAGCCATAAATAACAAACTAATGCAGCTCTTGACTCCTGGTTGTGCTTCCCCAAATAGCATTAACTAAAGCCTGACTCTGAAATCTACTTGGAAAGGATGAAGTGTATCACGTAGTAGGAGGAAATAATGAAACAATGACACCAGTAAAGGATTTTACAACTGCGACACCAGCTAATGTAGACCATTGCTCTTGAAAGAGATCAAAGCTGCTATAATATCCCAAAACTAGATGGAGAAGACTTTGACACCCGATTCTCCTATTTAGTACCTGTGTAATCAAGGGCAGGGAAGCTTCCACTGCTTCTCCTGGCCATGCAAGGTTTTGTGGGGCTACCTGGCCTGTGCTTCTCTCCGGGTTTCACAGAGTCTCATCCTCTACCACAGCTTACAATCAGTGCAAAGAGCAACGTAAATCACAAACAGGTTATTTCCTTCCTATTCTCCAATCTTTTCTTTCAGCCTGACAGGGAAATACTGGCATGTTAGCATCACATTGAGTAGCACAACACCAAGCAATTTCCCTTTGTCACTAAATCAATCAGCCATTATTAGATTCTTCATTAAGGCTGCGCCCGCCCCTCAGTTTTCATTATGCCAGGTCTGAAACACTTCCTGTTAGGAAGGTTCTATGTTAGGAATTACCTTTGTTAATGCCTCAAGGTATTATTAGTGCTAGAGTTGATGAACCCATCTACGTGTTTTATGTTAGAGGGGTAATAATAATAATAATAATAATAATAATAATAATAATACTCCTACCTGTGTTAACATTTAAAATTTCCAAAGCGTTATCTTAATCTGAAAACAACCCCAAAGTTTCAGTGCTGGCTTTGTTCCCATTATTTTGAAGATGAGGACACAGATGAGGTCTCAGAGAATTTTAGAGATGAAGATACAAGGTCTCACAGAATTTAAACACTCTGCCAGAACAACCATGGGAGTAAAAAGAGAGCCTAGATGAAAAGCCAGGTCTTTCTGACACCAAATTCTCTCCACTCCCTATGGTGTCTCATATCTAGAACAGAGTTTGATGAATAGCTGTTCTGCTTTTTCATGTCTCAGTGGCATAATGTGTGCCAGAAGAGAGATTAGGAAGTCGATACCAACTTGGTTCTGTGCCAGGCACCAGGACACATTCCAGCCTGGCCTTAGCAGGGGGCTTTAGTGGAGAAAAAGCAACAGACATTCTTAAGAGTTGGAATGGGAAGGGGCTAAGTTTCCAAACCCTGGAAAAAATACGAATTCTGAAATATTCATGTGTCTGGCTTATATCACTAAGCACAGACGATTATCTGTCTGAGCCTTGCTTTAATTTTACTGCTGTGGGAATGTAGGTGAGTGAGAACAAGGGAATCGTTGGAAATAGAACATCTAGAGGAAAAATGTCTTTCTTTGAAAAGAATTTTAAAGCCGTGCACCTACTGCCACCAAACTAAAATAAAACAAAACAAAGTTGTACTGGAAAAACAAACACATCAGAAAGTCAACTCTTGTTTTCAGGGAAAGATATTCTAAGTAAGTGCCATGTAGTACAGCCTGCTTCAGAAGATTTATTCTAGCAACTTAACTTTCTGTGCTGAATTGTCTATATGCTGATATTTAATCAAGATATTCTAAACCATAGATTATTTTTAATTATCAGAGCTTGCTGTTTTGATATAATTATATTTAATTGTACTTTTTTTTCCCAGATTTACGTAGCTAACTGTCTATACACACAAAAGAAGTTTGACCAATTCACTGGTAATGGGTGAAACTTAACTGCTCTGTGCCTCAGTTTCCTCATCTGCAAAATGTGGACATTAACAGGACCTGCCTTGTATGATTGTAATAAGGATTTCATAAATTAATGTTTGTTAAGTGCTTAAAGCACTTAACATGTGTCATAGCCTGACACATGCTATGAGAGTGTTTTAAAATGAATGAGTTAATTAATTAATTAAAATGAAATAATAAAAGGTTGAATTCAGTTAAACACGTAGGCTGTTCCCTCTGCACAACACAGTGGTTACTTAGCTTTTCAAGTTTTTTCTTCCCAGAGAGATTATATGTCTGCTGATGGTACAA